AGGGTCCTGCAGAAGGGTCCTACCCCGAGGCAGCGCGGCAGCTGCAGGGGCGGCAGGAGGAACGGGTGGGGGGCATTCCAGTGTTTCGCTGTCTGAAGAACTGGCTCCTTACAGCCCTGCTCCCCCCTCCGCCCGCTCACCACCAGGTTTAGGCAGCATTTTTGGCATGGGTGGAGGAGCCCTGTGGATGCTCGCGTGGCAGACGTGTCCCAAACGGGGGCTGACTGCGTCCCAGCAGAGCTTCGACGGGATAAACGCCAGGGCAGGAGGGAGGGAGCTCTGCTGCATCTTGTCTTTTGTGTCCCAGAAGATGGGATCTCTGAATGGGATCAATCATATTTACCTAATGCTTTAGATACTGAAGTCTCACATCTTCTTCGGCACAAAAGAAACAAAAACCCCAACAACCTTTGTCCCAAAGCCAGGACACGAAGCTGCGTTTGGATATGCAGATTTAGGTGTCTTAGGCCAAATTCTCAGTTCCATCACCCTGGCAATAGATAAAACACTGCCCCCCTCCCTCCTTGCACATGTCAGCATCCCATCCAGCTGCAACACACAGCCCGGTGCATGCCAGGAAGCCCCGAGCTAGAAAGGGCAGAGTCAGCCAACGCCAGCCTGTAATAACAAAGAGCCTAATTATGGAAACGTGGCCACCATCGCCAGGCCGACGCAGAGCACGCGCGTCGAACCCAAGCTAGCAATCGGCTCTGCAAGAGCTGTCCTTCAGGAGACCACGTCCAGCGTGAACTACTCGAGGGTCAGGTCAGAGACTGACTTTTCTAAGAGCAGCCTCTTGTTTTCGCTGCCTAGGCTCAGCTTGGCTTTCCTCAAGGTATCCACGACTCCAAATGGGATCTGGTAGAGCTCTGGGTATTTTAGCACTTCCAGAAGAGCTCTGAAGTTTCTTGGGTGCTCGGATGAGACTACTATGCTGCCAGCCTCTGAGCGGCACGAAAAGAAATAGCTCTGCTACGAGGATGACCTGTGCAACAGCATCTCCCGGAACAGAAACGGGACCCGAGGGCTCCAAGGAGAAGGCTCTGCACCAGCCTCCCTCCCCCCAGCTCAACTGGAACCAAACTCACCAACATTAGTGGGGAAGATGTCCTCGTTGTTGATCTGTACCTCAATCCAGTCCATCAGGAGGTTCATGTACTGGGGAGCAGACAGGGCCGTGGGTTTTCGGTACTTCTGCTCGTCCTGCCATCGGTACTCGTACTTGGGTCCCCCCGACATGACGGGGCAGGACTGCTCCGTGCAATAGTCACTGATGGTGCCGTAGATCAGGTTGATGCGGTTGAAGAAGTCCACCACGTGCACGGCCACCCAGTCATTCTGCTCCTCTCCCGGCGGCAGCTGGACGGCGACTTTCAAGTCCAGGCCAGCGTTGAGCGAGGCTTGAGCCTTCTTGTGCAGCTCAAACCGCTGAGTCCCCGGCTCAAACTTGCGCTTGGGCCGGAAGGTTTTGTCTTTATTGAACACTTGCTTTAGAGCATGGGACATTTTTCTTCTCCTCTTCTTTCTTTTCCACGTCCGTAGCAATGACAGCCGGAGACGCAGCGCTGCTGGGCCACTTCCCGGGGCAGGGCTGGGGCGACTCTGATCTTCACAGAAACCTCCCCCTGCTCATCTGGTCCTGATCTGCAAGGCAGCACAAAACGGCAGCGATTAGGAGCAGCTCTCTCAACAGGAAACCTTGTCTAAATCCCATAGGAAGAGATCTGGGATACCATCTGGGCTCTCGCCCCAGATCCGAGAAGCGGGGGAAGCCAGCGCCAGCTTTCTTTTCCTCCCCCTCCTCTCTCCAGCCCCGCCAGGTCCCCCGACATGCTCAGCACGGGGACAAGGGAACCAGCCTCACGGCCCCGCGGGGGGGGGTGGGGGTAGCTGCCGTTCACCCCGACACCTCCAAACCCCGCAGAAACAAGGAGAAAGTCCACCCCCTAGGAAAGGGTAAAACAAGGTGGGTTTTACCTGGGTCAGATTTTCCACCTACGCTTCCCCCCCCTGCCACTCTCCGAACAAGGTAAGGTCAGGACCGCCTCCCGTCAAGTTCGGGTCTGTTGCCAGATGTGCTCCAACAAAACATCTGCTGGAGCAGGAGCTGCCTGCGCTGCCGCAGCGCTAAGGACAGGACACGAAAGGGTGGAGGGGAACAAGAGGAAGAAGAAGTGGCAGCTCAGGCACCCGGAAAGAGAATACCCTGAAATAACACCAGCTCTAAGAGCAGCCCCAGCCTCTTCTGCAGGTGCAGACAGACCATAAACATCTTTATTTTTTTTTTTTAATTTCAGTTCAGCTCACTTTAAGTTGAAGGCTAGAAGCTCAGGGCAAGCTCACCTTCCTCTTCCAGCCTGTGGAAAAGAATTGGCTCCAAGAGGGTGAGGCCCAAGTTAAGATCTGAAAGGATGCTGACGAGAAACATAGCTCTGTTTATCTGTAGCTAATTATACCTCCTTTGTTCCCACATCCAGCCCCTCGCGTAATTTGTGTCAAGCTGCTCTTTGATGGAAGCTCAAGGCAGAAAGCTGTGCGCACCAAAAATACTATTTTACATGTGCTGGACAGAGAAATAAAATAAAGTAACAGAAATTAACTGAAGCTGATGCCTTACCCAATCTGGCAAATGAGAAGTTTCCATCATTTTAGAAGAGAGCAAGCGAACAAACCCGTTTCACCAAGCAGAAATCTATTAGATTTATAGGAAGCCATAGTGTTGTTCCAACAGGTAAACAGGATTCTCAAACCTTGGCAAGAAAATCCCAAATTCAAGGTCACGACTACCTTTGCCCATCTCTAACAGATGCTGCAGAGTGCTAATCAGCATTTCTTCTCCGGAGAAAGATTAAAAAGATTTAAACCAAGGCCTCTTGTTTTCTTATTTAATTACAGCAAGGAATCGTTCGTCCCACTAAGAACAGGCTCGACGTTTCCTGGTGCTGCTTCTCCCGCGGGAACGGGCTGGGTAACCTCTGCAGGAGCAGAGAGATCCAAACTCCTGTTGCAACGTGGGCCACGAGACGCGTTGGGAGATACTGAAAAAGTGTTTTAATGTGGTTCAGCAAGATCCACCCTGGGCTGCGGGGTGAATTCACGGCACGCTGGCTTTCGCCGCACGCAGCACGGCTGCGACCCCATCGAGATAAAGTGTGAGAGTCAAAAAAAAGAAGAAAAAGAAGAAATCCCCCCCCAAGAAAATATGTCCTTAGGAGGTGTTTGATCACACCACAGACATGGTTAGAGGAAGTAGCGAAGGGCGCGGGGGGACATCTGAGCACGAGGCAGCAGCCTTGGTTACCGAGAGCTGTGTCACAGCCTCACCACATCCTGCGGCAAAATGCCGAGGCGACCCGGTGGGGCGGAAGCACCGGGGGCCTGCGCCCACCCCGCCGCGGCGCCACGTCCGGAGCAACGGCAGGACCGGGGCCTCCGGGAGCCCAGCAATGTGGACAGCAGGTGCTGAGCCTGCAGCACGTCCAGCAGGAAATCGGTCCCGGAGAAGTATTTGCACGCAATGGTTTCCTTACACTGGAGATGGAGGAAGAAACGTCCTTCAAAACAAACAAGCCATAAAGCAGCAGGAGCATCGCTCTCCAGCCAGCTCCCCGGCGGACGGGCAGCGTCCCCGGCACGGTACGACTCTGTTCCTACCTACGTTCTGTAAGTTCTGTCCGACTGCAGCGACCGCCCGCGCGTCCGTGCCAGCCCAGGCACCGTCCCTTCCGCTGGACAAGGACGTGTTTCTCGCAGGGGCCGGCACAGAGAAGAGGATGGGGATGGGCAAAACCGCAGGGGGAGAAAAAAAAAACCATCCCCTGGGCTTGGCCACGCACGTCAAGAAGCAAACACCGACCGTTTTCCAGAAGAAAATGTTGTTTGAGCAGGGCGGAGAGGCTTTTAATGCGGCTTATTTGGTATCGAGGCAGCACCAGGCCCACAAACAACTTCCTCTTCCTATGGAGATACCATTCATGAGAACTGGGCAGCTCGACACAGCAGTGATCGCCTCTCAGGCGATTCAGCATCTGTCTGAAGGCATTAGCAAAATGAGTAGCTAAGACTTCAAGCAGATGCAGCCTGTTTAATTATGGTCTTTGACTGCAACTGAGCTAAAAGAAACATTCAGCTCTTGGGGGGGGAAAAAAAAAAAAAAAAAAAAAAAAAAAAGGCAGAGAGACCAAAAGCATCCCTGACATTGCTCGAAGATGATATCACACGTACAACACCTACGTCCACAGGCAGGAGTCACAGCTCGGGCTTTGCACAGGAGAGGAAGGGAAGGTTAGGGAAAATTAGGAGATGGGCCATGCAAGGCACCCGAATGGTATTTGCGAGCTTCAAAGATGGGGGGGGGGGAAACCAAACTTCCCCTAGAAACAAACCCACGGTGCATTTTGTTTACTCCTCCTTTCCAGCCAGCCCAGATTAGAGCACACATCACCCGTGCTCCGAGAGGACCTTGGCCGTCCCTCCGAGATCCCACGGCCACCCCACGCCGCGGCGGGCTGTCCGGAGGACAAACAAACCTCCAGCTTCTCCGCCATTCCCAAGGCCAGGAGAGGAACGGCTCGGTGTTATGCTTAATGCTCCTTAAGGAGGCGACTTGCCTGCCCAGTGAGGGGCGTCCGGCCCTCCCTTCCCTTCCCAAAAGCTCATTTTCTCCCCTTACTGCCCGCTCTCACAGCTCCAGTCCTAGCGCTGCTTTCTGCGGATGGCGACCCAGGGCAGGGCTGTTTGCATCCGCCGGGAACGGCGGATCGTGCCGTGCTGCCTTGCTTTAAAATCAGGCAGAGGAAACCCAGGTGGTCGCTTCCCCGGTTTCTTTTACACGCAGCTCAGAGAGGGTATGAAAAAAGGAAAGTCTATGAAAAAAGGAAAGTCGGTCACCTCCTCTGAAACACCTGGGAAGCGCCCCCCCTCGCAACCGGCCGCGGCCGTCCCGAGGCTTTCCAGGAGAGAGCAAAGTTCCCGTGGGACCCTGCCCTCCCCGCAGAGGCAGAGCAGAAAAAAAAAAACCAAACCCCAAACCAACCCGAAAAGCAAGCCAGCGCGTCAGCAAGCTCCTACCTGCGTTTCCAGCCTCGGCAGATCACGCTCGCGATTGCTCAGCCGGTCTCTGCAGCTCCTACGAGCGCTCGCGGGCTCGGAGGCAAAGCTTCCTTTTTCAAAAGGGGGGTGGGGGGGGAAAAAAAAAATGTCCCGTTTCATGCACGGCTGCAATCCGAAGGCTCCCGCAGGCCGGGGAGGGCTCAGACACGCGTCCACTTCCCTCCCAGTGATCCCAGCACCAGGGCGGCTCCCATCCTGCTGCCTCACTGGTAAGAAAGCCCCGAAGCAAAGCCCAGCGAGCAATGCGTGTCTCAAAAGAATTGATTTCTCGATTTTCCTTTTAGGGAAGCCAGGCTGCCGTCCCGCGAGAGGATACCACGATGGGAT